AGCCTGGGCCAAGCGGCACCCTACAGGGCAGGGGACAGCCTGGGCCACGCAGCACCCACGGTCCCTGGGTCATCTTCCCCCATCTTCCCCCAACCTTTTGGTCTGATTGGGATTTTGAGAATTTCTGTATTAGAAAACTTGACCAGGTGGTGGTGGCTCACTCCTTTCATCCCAGCACTTGGGAGGCAGAGGCAGGAGGCCAGCCTAGTCTACAGAGTGAGTTCCAGGACAGCCAGGGCTGCACAGAGAAACCCTATCTCGAAAAACCAAAACAACCACCTCTACCACCCTCAAAACGAGAAACCACCCTTGAACTTTCCATTCTTTTACAATTGCTGAGGTGCTTGTCCTGTGACCCACCTCGGGAGGCTGTAGGTGGGCTCGCCTTCAGACGGCCCCACTCCGTAGGCCCCTTCTCAACCCTCACCTCAGTCAAGGACACTGAACTCACAGATTTCTCTGTGGTTCTGTTTTGCAGGTATCCAATGCTGTTTCTGAGAAAGGAATTTATAAGCAGATTCCTGGCTGTTTTAACTTCCTCCGGAAAAAACTCTTTTTTAAAACTTAATGAGGCTGGGGCCTGCTCACTGCCTCATTATTGTCCCGAAACCTTTGTGGCCTGGAGGTGTCCTGCAAAGCAAGGAGTTTGTAACTGAGTCAGGCTGTTCTCCCCATCGGGCTCCCAGCGGCTGCTGGGTCAGAGAGCAATGCGGGGTGGGAGGACAGGGACAGAGTGCTGGGATGCCACCTGGCCTCTTCATCTGTGGCTGTGGCCTGTGACCTATGACTCCCAGGTCCTCTCTGGAACAGGGCTTCTCCACAGCTGCACTGCTCACATGTGGGCTGGTGTAATCCTGTCGTGGGACTGTCCTGTGTGTTCTGAGCCATCTCTGGTCTCTGCCGGCCAGGAGCACCCCTCCTGAGTTCAGCCAGCCAGAAATATCTTCAGACACTGTCACACATGCCCTGGGGACATAACAGCCTTCACTGGAGAACTTGTCCACAGCGGTTCGTGGCGGCATCTCTCCTTCCCAGACCCACAGTTCAGCTGGCCCTGTGTGTCTCACTGCAGCTTCCAGAAGGCTTCCTTTAGCACATTGCTTATTCTTAAAAAATAAATCTTAGGCAAAAGGAGTGTTGTCCCTACCCCAACTCTGTTCCCCACAAAGGAGACTTGCTTTTTTCTCATCATTTCTCCGTGTCTTCTAAGATCCCTGCCTGAGCCCAGGAGGTGACTGAGGTGGGAGCCAGGAGTCCCCACAGATCAAGGTTACCCTGCTGGAGACACCCGGACAGAGCTCTGCTGTTCCGAGTCTCCCTGTGTCTTTCTTGCCAGGGGACCCTGGTCCCCAGATGGCAGTGACCTTGCAATAGGAAGCGCTGGATAGCAGGAGGTGCTGTCTCCGGGTCTTTTAAACTGTCCTGACTTTCGCTTATTTTTCTGATTTCATCCGTCTTTGCTCTGTGAACATCCACTTGAACTTAGATGGTAGGAGTGCCAAGCCTTGTTTGTCTATATTTGAGCTGGATTCTAACTCTAGCCCAGGCTGGCCTCAAAATCTCCATCCTTGCTGCCTCCTGAGCACTGGAATTACAGCATGTACCACCACCCCAGGCTCCTCCACAGGCCTCATTTTCAGGGCCCTAAGGTTAGGGTGTCTGGTTAATAAGACAGATTCATACCAGGATATGATTCATAGAGTCATTTTATTTCTGTTTTCCTTTGGTGACTCCAAGATGACAGTCCCAGAGACATCTTTGGTTAGTTTCTTGCCATCACCTGCAGGACACACAGGAGACAGTGACTCTCAGGGAGAAAGGGGTGTGGGCACAGCTTTCGCTTCCTGTAAACAGGGGTCTTAGCCCAGAGTCCTGCTTGGGCTTCAAGCCAAAAGGCCATGAATTGCTGATAATTACATGCAAAATGTACAGGTGAGTGTGGCATTTGATGTAATTTCTTTGTTTTTGTTTTTGAGAAAGGGTCTCACTCTGTAACTCTATCTGTCCTGGGACTCATTATGTAGACCAGACTGGCCTTGAACACACAGAAATCTGCCTGCCTTTGCCTTCTGAGTGCTAGGATTAAAAGTCACTATGCTGGGCTAATTTGTTTCTTAAAATGAGTATTTGAGGGACTAACATTGTATATTGGTGGGGACTGATAACTGTCACCTGTCACTTTTTTTTTCTTCATAGAAGTCTGTTTTTTTGGGTTTTTTTTTTTTTTTTTTTTTTTTTTTTTTTAAAGAGTTATATATTATTTATACAGTACTCTGCCTGCATGTGTGTCTGCAGGCCAGAAGAGGTCACCCAATCTCATTACAGATGATTGTGAGCCACCATGTGGTTGCTGGTAATTGAACTCAAGACTTTTGGAAGAGCAGCTAGTGCTCTCAACCTCTGAGCCATCTCTCCAGCCCCTGTCCCTTATTTTTCAAGGCCAGTTAGCAGGATCAGGTCCTTTTTGGGGTATGTCTGGTTTGGTTTTGGTTGCTGGGATGGGTCTCACTTATTCTCTACCTGCTCTTACACAATTGCTCTTGTTTTGTTTTGTTTTGTTTTTACACAGGGGTGGGGGTTTCTCATAGTCCAGGATGGCCTCATTGCTGCTCTGTAGCCAAGGATGACCTTGAATTCCTGAGCCTCCCACCTGCACCTGTGCTGGGATTCCCTGTGAGTTACACACGCAGGCTCTATCAGCCAGCTGTGCTGCTGGTGTCTGTAGCACAAGCACAGATCGGAATACAGGAACCACGCCCCAGGTTGCTCACTAAAGCAGTGTAGGCCTTAAACACAACCTGATTAACCCCTCATGTTTGTGTCTCAGGCCCCTCACAGCAGCTCAGGACTTCGGGACATCTGAGTGCGTTAAACAAGTAAAATGTGACTGGCTCCTGGTCAGAAGGCAATATACATACTTAGTTGGAGGCTTTTCTTTGTTTTGAGACAGGAACTCACTATGTAGCCCAGATTGGCCTTTAATTTTAATTCTTTTTCCTCCGCCTAAGTGTTTTTATTATAGGTGTGGTACCATCATGCTTGGCTACATTTGGATGGTTTTGTTTGTTTGAGACAGGGTCTTATGTAGCCCAGGCTGGCCTCAAAACAATCCTCCTGCCCCTGGTTTCCACATACTGGGCATTGCATGCCTACACCACCATGTCTGGCAATGTAGGATTATTTTTTGTTGTTTTGTATTTTTGTCTTACATGCACACAAGGCCCAGAAGAGCACATAGCATGTAATTAACAGGGATTACCTCTGTAGAATGGAAACAAAGGTTAGAGCGAGGGGCTCTTCATTGCTTGCTCCATAGATTCCTATATTCCTTTTATAAGCAATATATTTAATAAATGTATTCCCTTCCGAACAAAACAATAAAGCTGTGATTGCTGAAGGCTCCCATGTTGACGCTGCCTATTTTAATGGACATTTGCTGAAAGGATGAAATCCCCTTGGGTTTGCCTTTTGTTGGCAGCTTGGTAGCCTCGGCTCATCTCCTACAGCTGTCTAGGCAGGTGCTCCCAGGCACCCTCAGGGTTGCAGCTGTTTGTCTCACATACGCACACGCACAGTGTGGCCTTGGCTGGGACCATGTGAGCCCCTATAGCTCCTCTGCAGCTGCTAGGGCAGTCTTCTCCAGAAACAGCTGGCTCCTTGGCTCGCCACCTCTGCCGGTCTCCCAGCGTTCTGCTTACTGGCCACTCTCCCAAAAATGGAAGGGCTCTGCCCAGGTACCCTGCAAAGTTTGCTTTCCCCTTCTGGTCTTCCTGACTCCCGCCCCCAGCCATCTGCCCTGCTGTGTCTGCCTGTGGCTGGGAATAGCAGGTGCTGGGACAACAAGTCATGCTTTGGGTCCCAAAGGTGCTGCCAGGCTCAGCTGCATGGTGACTAATGCAGCAGCTGGGACCACAAAAGATGATCCTAGGATTTGGCCGAGACAAAGCCCACAAGCATCTTTCCATCCAGTCATTAAGGCTCCTTTGAAATGCTCTAAGCTGGCTTTAGATTTCCCTCTGTCAAAATTTAGTCATGGCTCCCCTCCCCAGTTCACAATCAAAACAAACCAAAATGAAAAAAAGCCTGTCCTCTCCTACCATGTGAGCCCCAGAGATTGAACTCAGGTGGTCAGTCAGGCTTGGCACCACGTGCTTTTACCCCACTGATCCATTTCTGAGCCCTAACAAACTTGCCTAGAAGCTCTGGGGCTGAGTCTGCTTGTGGGCCAAACAACCAGCAAATGACTGACAAGCTGGCAAGGGTGAGTGGGCAAACTTGCAAGCAGGCTCAGGCTGGCTTTGGCAGCCCTCTCCCTCAGGCACATGCTCACAGCTGCCAGTTCGTATTTGGTTTTCTAACAATCTAATTCAATTTAAGGTTCCCTGCAAATTGAACCAGAGACAATGAGACAATGCCAGCTTCCCTTCTTTGTGGGCTCTGTTACAAGTGGCACCATCCTTGCTATTCCTGGCTGTACCCACTGAGGAGTCTGGCTCAGCTCAAGTCCATTTTACAGAAAAGCAAATGGAGGAGGGGCCTACACAGGGGTGGATTAAAATACACACTGTGGGCAGAGTCCTCTCCCCTCTTTGTACCCCTCTCCAGACTCCATGTCACCTCCATCCTCACCCAGCGTCCTGGGTTGTGCCAGTTTCCTGCTGTTCTGGCTGCTTCCCTGACTACTGCCGGTATCCTTAGCTGCTCTGCTGGCCAGCGTGTCTCCGGGTTCCTCCTGTCTGTGCCTCTCCAGCACTAGGATTTACAAGCACTGGCCACCATACTTGGCTCTTTACGGGGGTCCTGGGGATTGAACTCAGGTTCTTCTAGCTGCAAGGCATAACTTTACTGCCTAACATTCCCCCTATTACTCAATAACCTGTGGTTATTAGAGTAAAAAGGAAATCAAGCTTCCAGGAGAGGCTTCTCTGGAATCACACAGGCACAGGAAAATAAACCTAGCCCCGTTTGCCTGGGACAGTTGGTCATCTTACCAGGGCACACTCTTCAGTGGGACTAAGTGCTAAAAACTAAGGTTGGAGGGTTCTCCACCTGGGTGTAGGCTTTGCAAATAAATATGATCACTGACAGCACTGGAGGGTGCGGACTGGGTCTATAGACCCTCGAAAAGAAATGAGATACACTTGCTGACCCTGGGGAAGCCCGCAGGCCCCATCGTCAGACTGTGGCCTCAGGAGTAGCTGTTCTTACCGTGTTGATCCAGCTGATGTAGTTGGAGACCCTGGTGAAGACAGATGGCTTTCGGGGGTAGTTGCAGCCCAGAGAAGAGCCGAAGCTCACGATGCCATGCACCTGCCACTGGCCATTAGATGCCTGGCAATTCAGTGGTCCGCCAGAGTCCCCCTGAGGAAGCCAGAGTTGGGCATGAAGGGAGGAAAAGGGTGCCCCGTTGGTCCTGGTTCTTAACATATTCATGTTTTTTTCTGTGAGGTCATTGTCCTCTCAAGCCAGCCTTATGACCGTAGGGCCTCACAATATGGCTCTCCTGCATTAGCCTCAGAAATGCTGGCATTACACGTGTGGGATATCATGCTGGCTTTGCTCACTTTTCTTTTTTTGCCCAGACAGGGTCTTCCCAGGCTGAGCTGAAACATGCAACAGTCCCCCTGCCTCACCCTCCCTAGTGCTGGCATAAGTGTCCCAAGTTGCAGCTATGTGCTCTCTAAGCCTCTTCTTTTGTCACTATCATGGAAGCCCACGACGCCAGCATGAGTTTCTCGGGTTCACTGGAAAAGGCTGAGTCTTGCCCCACGAGGCCATGGAGTTGGGGTGGGCTGAGTCTATGTATCAAGTCACTGTCTGCACCGGAAGATGTGGGCACTCCCCTTGCCTCTCCGTCCTCCTCTGCAGAATCTGCCTGGAGCAAGTCTTTTGGTTCCTGACACAGAGACCTTCTTTAAGAAGACTTCTGTGGCAGCTACCCAAGGGGCCACCTTGGGGCATTACAGTGAGGTGAGAGTGATGAGATCCCAGGAAAGACTAAAGACTCCCTACTAGTTAGGCAGAGGGGATGCTACAGGGTGATGGTGCCTATACCATCATTTCTGGGGGCGATGAGAACAAAAGTCAGGTTCGGGAAGCCTCCAGAACCATTTCCAAAGCTCCTGCCCAGGAAAGAGGGAGAAGACGGAACCTAGGACAGCCCGAGACACCCTCACCCCCACCTCGCCCTCTGCCACATCCCCATCCCGTCTCTGCCACGGCCCCGCCATGTTTGGTTGTAGCCTGGGATTGTGGATACTCACGTTGCAGCTGGAGATCACGCCGTCGCCACCAGCGCACACCATGCTGGTCTTCACGGAGCTCCCCCACCAGCTAGCGCTGGAGCAGGTGGCATAGTCCACAACCAGCAGGCGGCCCTGCTGCAGGATGTCAGGGCTGGCCCCGTTGGCTGAGTGAGATCAGAGAGAGGGTGTGAGCGGCCAAAGCGACTCCCAAGTTAAAAGGAAGCAACGGGACTGTCGGTTAAATGCGTGCTGTGAAAGCAGGAGGAGCTGGGTTCAGATCCCCATTGTTCGTGGACAGAGCCGAGTGTAGTTAAGGCTGTGGCGGTGTGGACAGAGACAGGAGGATCCCTGGAGATTTTTAGCCATGCATACAAAATGGGGGAACGGGGTGGGGGAGAAGCCATCACTGCTGAGTCTTCTGTCTACCCCTTCCTTTTTGGACCATATCACTTCCTCCCATCTACAGAGCTACAGTGGAGGTGGCCATATTAGTTTGCATTTGGTTCTCATTTGAGGGGTTGGTGTTCTGGCTGTTGGTGATTGGTTCAGAATGAGCACCTGACTCAATCTAAAGCCAACGAGCTCCTTCCTCTGGGATTTTGGTGTGGGCAGTGGTTGCCATTTTCTTTTTGTGTGGAGAACAGTAAGGCAGAAAAGATGCTCTGAGGGAGAGCTTCTGGCTCCTTTCAGGCTTCAAACTCCTTGTTCTAGAATGTTCCCGACACCCAGCTATGTTTGGGTTAGAATTCCCCTTTTTGCTGGGCTGGCTGGTTCCACAGGTTTCTCTTACTTTGCTATGACAGGGAGCCGTCTAGCTGGGAAATACTATTCTGTGGTGAAGGTAGCTTTCCTCAAGGCCCCAGTGACATCGTCAACATCATTGTCACAGTTGGCCAGCATAAAGTTAATTTTCATTCTGTGTGTGTGTGTCCACACGGAGGCCAGAGTTCAACCTCTAATGCTCTGACTCTTTAGTATAGTTCCTCATGTTGTGAGACCCCCACCATAAAGGTATTCCGTTGTCCGTTGCTTCTTCATAACTATAATTTGCTTCTGTTATGAATAACAACGTAAGCATCTGATAACAGAATATCTGACACACAATCCAGGCGGGGGTCGAGACCCACAGGTTGAGAACCACTGCTCTAGAGCCTCCACCTTGACTTCTGAGTCCGGGTCTATCATTAGGTTAGCGCTCACCCAGTTGGGTGAGGCTGGATGGCTATTGGCCCCCAGAGATCTCCCTGTTTCTACGTCCCAGAGCTGGGGCTGTAAGTACACACAACCGCATCTGGCCTTTCACAAGGCTTCTGGGGATGTGTGTCCCCACGCTCGCAAGGGCAAGCACTTTTCCAAATGAGCGCTTCCCTGCATCACTCAACGTCAGTCTTCAACTGCAGATGATCAGGCTCTCCAAACAGGCCGGTACTCACAGGAATATTTACTCCTGTTGGACAGATGGGACATGGACGCCAGGGGATTTAAGAATCTTGCCCGAGACTGCTCTCATTAGCGCATTGACACTTCCAAAGTATTTCTTACACATCTTTGATTTTCATGGAAGACTTCCCACTTTACAAATGAGGTAACAGGCTCTAAGTGGTTTTCCAAAGGCCCCATCATGTGCCGTGTGTGTGAATAGAAGCCTGAGCTACCTCCCTGCCTCTCCTTCCCACTTTCCTTGCTTGGTACACGGGCCTCATTCCTCTCTTCACAGAAGAGCCGCAACAGCTCTTGGTCTGGGATAGCATCTTTTCTAGTCCCAATGCCTATTGGCTTAGCTTGAGTCAGGTGCTCATCCCTGAACCAATCACCAGTGAGCAGAACACTAACCAATCACATGTGACTACACAGCATGGCCAAACCTGGCCCAGCTTTAGACAGTGAGAAGACTATCTGAGGAGGGCCTTGGGGATGTCGTGGAGCTCTAGAAGCCTGAGGAGCTCATGTTGTTCTGAGCGCTGGCCTTGGGCCATACAAACGACACGGTGTGGTCTGGACATCCTCCAGACCACATCCACTGTGGAGACAGGGACAACCTCCACAGTGGCTACTGTGCCCTATAGTTACTAGCTGTAAGTGCTTCCACGGACTGACTGTCTTCTCTCGCCTTCTCTGCATCTTGTCAACTATATATAGCTGCTACCCCACCTCCTCCCTTTGCTGTCCTCTGGCCCAATTTACAGGTGAGGAAGCCCCTGGAGGGGCCCCGCAATGCCCCTGAATCACACGACTATTAGAGCCGAGATCCGAACCCAGGCATACGTACCAGTCTCCTCCAGCCCCTCTAAGGCAGCCAAACACCCTGGGGACAGAAGTGTCATCACCTCCCTTCCCTGTCAGGCTTTCCCTTACTTGCTTTCACTTACTCTTCAGCCGGCCCCAGCCTGTGACATAGCAGGGGTAGTTGTTGGGGAGAATGGTGCCAGCAGCCGGGAGTTTAGCTGTCTGGATCTTGTTGGTCAGGGACACTCGGCTGGCCAGTTTGAGCATGGCAATGTCGTTTCTGGGCAGGGGAAAAAAAAGGTAGAGGACACCAAGGATGTTGACTACTCCTGCCTGCTCTTTTCCAACCTTTGTCATTTTTTCCATGTATAATCCCAGGCTGCGTGGCAGGCTCTTCCACAGTCTTTGCGGCTCCCTCTATCTGATATCCCCACCATTCCCATTTTGGCTCCAGCAGCTATGAGGGCGCCTCCATCTCGAGGAAGGCAGAGCCCCTTCCCTTCCCTACAGAAAGGGCAGAGAAGGGGTGGGTTAACCCCTCTCTGTGCGGTCGCCAACCCCAGCCCTGAGAGCACCAGGAAGGGCAGAGCATACCCATTGGAGATATACTTGGGGTTCCACTTCTCATGGACCACAAGCTTGGAGACCTGAACAGCCACTGAGCCGGATTCTGCGGTGGAGAGGCTGTGTCGGCCGAGCAGCACACGGTAAGTCCTAGAATTGCTGTGAGGGCAGAGTGACAGATCAGTGACCAATCTCTGCGAGCAAGGACACCCCAGAACAGAGTGCTGTCAAGTAAACAATTCCCTGTACAAAACCATCACTGTTCCCACCCCCCCCCCCCCCCCCACCCCCAAGAAGGCAGGTGCTGGGCTTCTCCCTCCTCTACATTCTCCTGGTACAAGGCATTCAGTGCGTGCTATGTACGGACGGGGGAACTCAATAGCACTGAACCATACACAGACTTGCGCCTGCGCCTCAGGCAGTCACGTGACGATGCTCGCCAGGCTCCTTTACAGCGCGTGGATCAGGCAGCTTGGGGATGCCTGCTCTAGGGCTGAGAGTCACTCAGTGACAGGGTGAGCAGGGAAAGGTGCTCAGTTACCTGATGCAATGGGCAGCTGTCAGAACCCAGTTGTTGGCCACCAGAGAGCCTCCGCATGTGTGGTACCATTTTCCGGAGGAAAGGTACTGCAGGGAGACCTGGGGAGGGGGAGCACAGGGGCATGGGTGGGAGGCGCTGTTTTCCCAGTTCTCCAGTGGCTTGACAGCAGGGCAGGGGCAGGCAAGGTGGCCGGGGCCGGAACTCAGGTCCCATCCTTAAAGGCCTATCCTCAGACCCCAGCCATGGAGATGAAGGCATTTTCCTCTCTGCCACACAGGGGTGTTCTGGTACCTAGTCAAGGACGACCTAGAGCCTCTGACCCTCCTGAGTGCTGGGGCTACAGATGGGAGCTACCAAACCCAGTTAAGATAAAAGCATTTTAATGCTTTATAGAAAAAAAAAATCAGCACAAAGACTGGCTGTGGTTGTTCACGCCTTTCGTCACAGTGCTTGGAAGGAGAGGCAGGGAGATTAAGGACAAGTTTAGCTATGCAGCACGTTCCAGGACAGCCTGTCTTATATGAAACCTTGTTTCAAAGCAACAGCAAAAACCAAACACACATCCATGATAAGCAAAATATTAAAAATTTCACAAAGTTGGGTGTGATGGTGTATGCCTGTGAGTAATCTTAGTACTCAGAACTCTGGCTGAGACAGGAGAATGGAGAATTCCTGGGCAGCCTGGGCTACCCAGTGAGCCTGTGCTGT